AAAAAAAAAAAAAAAAAAAGAAGCGAGGTCCTGTCAACATGAAAGGGGAGGCTGGACATGGTAGTGCATGCCTGTAATTGCAGCACTTGGGAAGCTGAGGCAGGAGGATTGCCACAAGTTTGAGGCCAGCCTGGGCTACATAGCAAGGCCCTGTCTCAAAAAACAAAACAAAACAAAACAACCAAAAAACAAAACAGAAGGGAAAAATAAAAGGTGGATTCTAAGGTTACAAACAGAATAATAGAAGAAAATGATACTACTAGTGTCACAGTTTGCAAGATGATGAGCATACGATAAAAAAAATCAGGTAATAGGTTCATTCAAAATAGTGCTTTTTCACAGTATGCAGGGAAATGGAGACATTTCCTGACAGACCATTTCCTGGTGTGAGAGGTGCTACCTGGCACCCACTCCTGGCCTGACAACTGCCCAGCCTGGAAACTCTAGACAAGCTACCTGTCCTCATGGCCCCCAAGCTTATTTTTGAAGTAAAGATAACAATGGCTGCACTACTAACCTCACAGGACAGAGAAGGCAGACAAAAACAAGCTGAAAGCTGTCAAGTACTATGCAGTTAAATCTAACAAACACTAGGGCCTGCCACTGTTGGGCACCACAGACATGTCGGGCACAGCATCTGCCACACATTATGTACCACAGATGTGCCAGGTACTGTGCCTGCCTTGTGTCAAGTACTACAGACATGCAGAGTACTGTGCCTAGCCTGTGTTAGGCACCTGATGTGCCACGGACTGTCATTACCTGATATAGAACTTCAGTGTTCAGCAGGTCACGTGAAACTTTCCCAGAACCATGGCTGGAGGCTTCCATGAAGGTTAAGGCAGACAAGGCAGAATGAAAACAGACCCCTACCTCTGATTGCTTGGAAATTCGAGGTCAGGACAAATACTTTAATGAGCCTGAGGCATAGAGGTGTGTAGTCATGCTCCCAGATGACAGCTGGGATCAGGAGGAGCTTCCCATAGCTTGATAACAGTAATCCCTTTAGCAGCAAGCCGAAGTCAGGCCTTTTTTTTGCTGTTTTGACTCGTTCCATGCACAGAAAAGTAAAAATGCCAATAAAAAAGGCACTTTGTTCTAGGAAGACAATGAAAAATAAAAATTTGTCAGTCTCCATCCAAAAACCATATTTCCATCTAAAAACAAACCTCAATTCCAAAATATAACTTAGTTGATTTCATGAAAAATGCTTTAGCAATATCAGATTTTCTTCTTTTTTTAAAATCAAACCCAGCCTTTGTGTAAAATCCTGCTGGTGTGACTTAAGAAACATTTCAATAATTCTTTCATAAAGTTTTTCATCACCCACTGAAGAAAAACTCCATCAGAGCCGTAATCACTGCCTTTCTGAAGTGTGTGAGATCCCCAAGAAAGAATAAAGCAGGAAGGAGGAAGCTGCCAACTCTGAATGATGGGGCTGCCCTGAGAATGGTGCTGCCCATGCTGGCATTTTTCTCTGTGGATTCTTTCACTACTTACTGAGTGCTTATTATCTATAAAGTATTGAATATTGCTATCTAATTAAAAGACATCCCTTACAGTGAGTTCAAGGCCAGCCTGAACTACACAGCAAGACCCTGCCTCAAAGAACAAAACAAAATATGCGAATGTGTGTGTGTGTGTGTGTGCGCGCGCGCACACGCGCGCACATGGGGGAGGGGAAGTTGGGGGAGACAAAGCAACTTATCTTTAGAAATTTATGGGGCTTTGCTTCAAAGCTTGATTATACTCCTAGGTTAGGAGATATACTCAAGGTCTATTTATTTTGGTTTTTTTCCCGGTACCGGAGATTGAACTCAGGACCTTGCGCTTGCAAGGCAGGTGTGGTGCCACTGAGCTAAATCCCCGGCCCTTCAAGGTGTATTTAATATTACTGTAAGATGTAAATGTTTACAATCTTCTGTATATTTCAAATATTACTAAACAGATAATAAAAAAAATTTACATTAGGTGTCTCAGCAAAGTCCAAATTATACCCAAAATTACTGATAAAGAGTCAGGAACAGTGGTGCAAACCGTAACACCAGCTACTGGGGAGGCCGAGGCAGGAAGATTATTAAGTTCGAAGCCAACTATGTAGCCAGACCCTGTCTTACAACAACAACCCAAAAAATTATTGATGGAATGGACATCATTAAATTGTCATAAATCCTAACAAATTCCCAACTGTAAGCTCCCAAAGGCAGAGATTTTTGTATTTTTCATAGATATACCTCTCCAGTGCCTGAGGAGTGAATGGTACATAAGTATTTAGGAAGTAATTCCTGTTTTGTTTTTTTTTAGGTACCGGGGATCGAACTCAGGACCTTGTGCTTTCGAGGCAAGCGGTGGAACCACTGAGCTAAATCCCTGGCCCTTTAACAAGTAATTCTTAAGTATATGAATAATAACAGATAGTGTTAGAATGCATCACGTACATATGCAATCATTAAATCACCTACACAAATGTTTATTGAGCACCCATTACAGACCAGTTACTTTACTAAGGGCTTGAGCTAAATCAGTGACCAACACAGAGAGCCTCGCCCTCATTCTGTTTATTTAGTGGAGAAGGCAGATCACAAAAACAGCTAACTGGGCCAGGGATTTGGCTCAGTGGTTTCGATGCCTGCTGCACAAGTGGAAGGATCTGAGTTCGATCCCCAACACCAAAAAACTCCCCCCCAAAACAACAAAAAAACCCAGCTAAGAGCAGCTTCTGTGGTATGTGAGATGATGATAATCACCTTAAAACAAGGCGGTTGAGGGTGTGGTCAGCACAAAATTCACTCAGGTGATATTTCAGACCTGAGGGACACCAAGGAGCAGACGTGTGGACATTAGGGGCAGGCACCCTGGCAGCCTTTGAGCAGCCAGCTCAAAGGCCCAAGGGTGGAGGCTCATCCAGCATGTCTGAGCAAGTTCCCTGGAGTGGCTGGGTCAGGGTGGGCAAGACAGATGGTGGCAGTAACTAAAACAAGAGATGTCCCAGAGAGGCAGAGCATGGAGAGCCTCGTGTGCCCAGTACAGGGACTTCAGTGAAATGGGAGCTGTGTCCTAGCAACAGTTGATTAGAAAGGGGCTTCTCAATGTAAAGAACAGACTGGCACGAAGTGGACTAGAAATGAGGAGGCAACTCTGCTCCCCTAGCTTGTGTCAGGTTCTGGCCGTGGGGATGGTAGGAGTGGCAGTGCAGTGCAAAAGTACTTCCTGACAACTCAAGTGTGCACCATCAGGGATGACTTCAAGGCTTCTTGGTCTAAGCAGTTCAAACAATGGAGTTACTTGCAACTGGGATGGGGAAGGCTATGGGCAGAGGCAGCAGAAGCTGGGTTTTAGAGATGACTTATTGGCTGTCCACATGGAGCTACTGAGGAGGCAAATGGACACAGGGTCTAGAGGTCAGGAGAAAAGTCTGGATTAGAGATGGACATCTGGGGTTCCAAGCAGATGGCAGAGGTAACTGAGGGAGTGAGGTTGGCAGATAGGACAAAAGAGGATGTGTGATGTAGAAATATGACACTGGCATGGAGTAGAGACTCAGTATTATAAAATGTTTCATTATAGTCAAAGCAGAAGTTGTCCAGTTGGGTAATCAGAACTTAAACTCACCTCGCAGGTAGCAGGTTAATGGAAGAGCTGAGAGTTTATCTGTAAGTTCTCTATTAACTATTCCCCTTTGTCCACGATCAAGAACATGTGTCTTACTTTTAATCAAATAGTTAAGTTCTATTTAAGAATGGAAAGCGAGTGTCTCCTTACCTAGAGAAGCAACTGCAAACATTCTGTAAAAATCCCACTCCTTGGCATATCTAATCAAGTCGTCCGGGGCAGTGTTTTGGTTTGAGTCCTGAAGCTGCCACCACCTCAGGTATGCTTCACAAAGCAAACAAAACATGCAGAGTTTTCCATGGATCTGACAGTCAAAAGACATTGCCACTCAATCAGGGAAAGAAGCACTTGATTGTACTTAATATCAACAGGCACAGCTGTAGGTAAGTGTAGTTTTGAGGAACATCTCAGCTTGCAAGATTTAAACCCCCACAGACCAACCAGGTGATTCTAAATGTGTAGTGAAATCTGACAATCAATGCTTTGGTAATTTACTGGGGTTTTTTGGTTCTTTTTTTGTTTTGTTTTGTTTTTAGAAAAGGTCCATTATGTAGCCTTGAGCTCACAGTGATCCTCCTGCCTTAGCCAGGATTACAGGTGTGCGCCACCACAGCCAGCTAATGCTCTGGTAATTTAAAAAATGCCGTTAACTTGAGGAGCAGGGTGGGGATAAATAAACTACACCATTATTATCGACTTTAACCCAAATTTAGGGTTGCAAATAACACCACAGAACACCCAGGAAATTTAGTTTCTGATACACAATAAACAATTTATTGTAGGTATATTTCATGCCATATTTGAGACATACTAAGTTTTCACTGTTTATCTAATTTTCAAATTTAATTGGATATTCTATATTTTATCTATCAATCCTACCCAAACTACTAAAGAGTTTACAATTCAATACACTAAATATGTATTTTTAAAAATCCAACTTTTAAAATTAGGACTTTTCTGACTAAATTCAATGTTGTTATTTACCTCAAAAATTCCCTAACAGTAGAGTGTAGAATACAATTATATTTAGTATTTTTCTATTAATGTCAGTTTACTTCTTTTAGGTATAATTTTCTCCCTACCCAGATATGTTTAATTTTGTTCTATTTAGAGTCAATGAGTCTGTTTCAATAGGTAACTCACTAAAGGCAATCCACACGATAGCTGTCAGCTTCCTAACACACCGTTTAAAATCTATACCTCAGGAGGCTGAGGCAGGAGGATCACTGTGAGTTTGAGGCCAGCCTTGGCTACACTGTGAGTTAAAGACCAGTTTGAACTACATAGCCAGACCCTGTCTCAAAAAACAAACAAAACGAAACGAAACAAACCACACACACAAAAAATCTACACCCGCTATTTCTAGAAACTTTCAGATAGGTTGAGAAAAAAGACTCACCTTCCAATCAGAATTTTTCTTTTCTTTTCTTTTCTTTTTTTTTGAGACAGGGTCTGGCTATGTAGTTTAGGTTGGCCTCGAATTCACGGCTATCCTCCTCCCTCAGCCTCCTAAGTACTGGGATTACAGGCATGCGCCACCACCCCACCACCTCTGGCTAGAAGTTTTCATTTTATACTTTTAAATTCTGTTCAAAATTGTTATCCTTATAAAATGCACAAGCACTATTAAGGAACATTAAAATGTTTTAAAATTATCACAACTTACGTTTATTTTAGTATTGAAAAGAATATGCCTGTAGACCTGGGCTTTGCATAAAATAGCATTAATCAAGATAATAACAGGATCATACTCGATATATTTGTCTACAAGTTTCTGGCAGGATTTCTGAAATAACACAAGATAACATTAGAACAAGCAAACTAACAGTCTGAAATCTCAGACTTCAAAATAACACTCTATTCATAAAGCAAACAAGGCCATATCAGCACTTAAGTAAACTTCCCCTCAGATATGTGTAAGAAGTGGTTTCACAAGTGACTCAATATGTGTCTACGCTAGAAATACTAATATTTTAGCTCATATTTGGGAAGCTAAAAAGATTTTTGACTTAAAGACTAATTCCAAGCAGAAAGGTATCCTAGAAGAGTCTACTTTTAATTTGTGGGGATTGTTATGAATGAATCTCTAATGTACTTTTTGACTGGTAACCTGTTGCCTATTGGCTATATGGCCCCAACACTGTAGTTCCTGAAATAGGATGTGGAAAGGTCTTCAGCAAAGTCTCCTGCTCCCTGAGCTTTTGAGAGGTACATGTAGGTAAGGAACAGGACACAGTACTAACTAATAATCCTGAGGTGGGAGAACTCAGGGAAGCTTGGGTTTTCTTCTAATAACACCATGGATACAGAGGGAAAATGCTACAGTAGAGATAGTGGAGAGTTAAAAGAACTGGATGGTGCAGCCCAGGTCCAGGTCACCAAAATCCAGGCTCTCTCAGGTCACCATTTTAGAGTTCAAGATCTCTGGACATGTGATAATAAGGTCATCAAATCTCAACACCATTAGCACATGGTCATATGAAGCAGCATTAGTTACAAAGCTGCATTAATGCTATAATTCAATGCAAAAAAACTAACGGCTACAATTCCAACCAAAAATTTTGAAACTCTGGCAGGATAAAATAGAAATAGAAGTGGGGATACAAAGATATTACGATGGCCTTTTAGTTACATCAAAGCACTAGAAGAAAAGTGAACTGCACTGAAGAATATTAACCCTCCACTTCAGCGTAATGAAATACTGGGTTCCCTTCCAAGGTAAGAGTTTCTCCACTTCATTCATGTAATTCCAATAAATAGGTATGTTTTTCCAGTCATCATGCGAACCAGTGAAGGCAGATGTGCTACTTCCTCAAACTCAAATCTACCTAACAAAACAGAGGCATAAAGAATTCGTATTTTTGCAGCTCTTTACCTGAACAAAGAGTGAGCTGGCCCCTAAACAGAAGCCAGAATCAGAAATCACATGATTGTGACAGGCTATTTTGTGGACCCTATGCCACTCAAATGGAGCACACTTTCTCCTTTCCTGCATATGAGATCTGAAGTCCAGAGATGCTAATTCATTTTTAAATGAAACTCCTAACAGTTCAAGGATCCCCTTCTCTGTCCTTCAATAAAGTTCTCTAAATCTCATTTTTAGACGGTACTACAAGTGTAAGACTTGGGGTCTGGACAATTCTTAGAAGAAGGCAGGCAGAAACCAGCACTAAGTAGGACAGCAGCTCCTGCTTCTTTTGCATTCACTTGTGTGGCAGATTCATGTGGAGTGGCTACTACATTCAAAACAAGAACTCTTTCTTCTTAGCCACTTATGAATCATTTCCAAGATCCTAGATAATCACCTAGAGCCACTAGTCTAACCTCAAGGACCTTACAGTTTAGAAGGCCAAGACAAGCATGCTACCATGTGGTCTGACAAGTAATATAACGGGATAACTCCGGGTGACAAGAAACCAAAGAAAGAGGCAGTTTCTGTACCATATGACATGCTGTGGGCACTGCCCATTTTCCCTGCAGAGCACGATAACCAACAGGAAATTTATTCAAGTCTACTAGCCTTCTCATCCATTTTAGATCTCATTTTTCCCTGTTTTTCTTGTAAGTGCTCCTCTCCACCTTACTTCCTCCTGCTCTTACTTGAAATGTAAGCAGGAAAGCTACACACACACACACACACACACACACACACACACACACACACACCCCCAAGACAAATGTAGTAGAATATCTTACTGGGAGCTATATTTAAAGTACCATATTACTTTTAGTAAATACATTTTCTTATTTTGGCAAAATTATTCCATTCTTTATCATCTACTACCAAATAGACAAAGATCCTGAAAAGAAAAAACTTTTCGTCTAAGAAATCAATACAGCACAAGGGCCTCAAAGAGCACCACTTCAGTCTGCACTTAGCTGTGACATGCTTTGTCCTGCTAACATTCTTCATTTCACTGATGAACCACACTTTTAAAAATATAAACTGGCTATATCAATTCTTCATGAATATTCCTGCTGCTTTCTTCTGTATCATCATCGCAAGGACTACAGGACTACTTCTTTCTCTACTTAGCCTCAAATCTATTTAATTTTAGCTCTACAATAGGCAAATACTGTATCTTAAAATGGAACCCTCTGGACTTTTAAGCTTTTCAAGGTCTTATTCGTTTTTGCATCCAAGAGGCGGGAGCTAAATATCTTAATAGTGAGTGGAACTAAAAATAATCTTAAGGAGCCTTCTTTTGTTCTATAATGAGTTTATTAGATGTCTGTGCGCTTGAAATAGGGCATCGCCACAAGATACTAAGAGTACTATGTCCGTAAGCATAATTAAGTTGCGAAAGCTGAAAGGGAAGGCACATTTACCTTGGATGGGGGACTTTAGATGGAACGGGTGAAATCTGGCATGCCACTAACTTCGTGTCCTCACTGCCTGGACTGGCCCCCACCCGCCCTAGCTCACTGCGCTCGGCGGCCACAGGTGTCCCTGGATCACTGAGCCCCAGCCAGAGCCGAGCACCAGCCTCCCGCACACCGGACGGTGCTAATCCCCTCGCCCGCCCTCGCACTCACGCAGATGGTGAGCTTCAGCACGCCGTGGTTGTAGTCTCGGTATAGCTCGCTGGCCTCCTGGTTACACTCGATACACCTGTACGGAGAGGGGGGCAAGACAACCTCAGCCATCTCCTCCGCGACCTTCCCGTGACGCCGGCCGTCGCATCGTTCCCCCTGTCACTACGGAAGCCGCTTCCGGTCACGGGCGGAAGTTGTCAGGTCGGGCCGGAAGGGTTCTCGCGCCAGACCTGCTGGGACTGGTAGTCTCAACGCGGGTCGCGGGCCCTGGGCTGGTGTGGCCAGGACTACGACTCCCGGCAAGCGCTGCGCCCGTCCTCCGCGCCCACCTGCTCGCCACGGGCCGAGGGCGGCCGCGCGTGCGCCGTGCTCGAAGATGGCACCTGCCGGCCGCGGGCGTGGATGCCGGGGTGGCTTGGGTATTCGGGCGCTGCCGCCAGTTCTGCTGCTGGGGGCTCTGGCCTGCGCGCGCGCCACAGAGCACTACTCGCCGCTGTCCCTGCTCAAGCAGGAGCTACAACATCGGCACCAGCAGGAGGCCTCGGTGGGCGGCGGCTGCCCGCAGTCGGGGGACTGGACGGACCAGTACCCGGCAGAGTGCGGTGAGTGGGCCGGCAGCCGCGGAGAGAGGGGACAACCCGGATGTGAGCCTGGCATCCAGCTGCTTCCCTGAGGTTGAGTACCCGGAAGGAGGAGGAGGGCGAGCCCACGGCATCTGCGCGGGGACCCCCGGCTTCGGTTCGGGACCACCTCGCGCCCGCCCGTTGTCCCCAGGCCTTACTGCTTGCGGGCGCTGCAGCTGCGCCGCGCATTCGCTGAGGTCGGGGGCTATTGGCTTGTTTAGTAAGTTATGGCAGACGCCTTTGGGCAAAACACGCACGTTTTTTTCTTTTGAGTTTTGCAGTGGTTTGGTTTTTTTCACCTTCAGTCCCGCTTCCCTTTCCTTCCCCCAGTTGGATTCCCGTATGACTTGCTTTGGAAAGAATGGAGGTCTTCCACTATTGGAGCTGGACGGTTGCTGTTAAGGCCCACTGCGTTGCTCTTCAGCACCGTACAGCTGTGGAGACAATACCTATTTTTTTTTAATTGAGATGAGATGTCAAGATTAGCACAATCTGATTATCTTTTGACACAGCCTGCCTTTCAGGAGGAAGTGTCATTTGCAGAGGAATGACTTCTTTATTTTGTAGTAGGCATAAATAGCATAAATACCGTAGCCAGCATTACAGACTGAAAAAAACAGTGGCCATTACCTGCGTTACTTTCTGTGGTGCTGTGTGAATGAATTACTTGTTGGCAAGATTGGTCTCTGTGAATTGGGGATGCTTTTTGCCTAAATACAGGGTTTTCTCTCACAAGAATGCTGTGAAGGGAAGGAGAAATAGCTGACGGTGCTAGCGGTATGCCAGATACTGTTGTAAGTACACTTAGTCTGTTTGTCTCGTGTACTAGTCTGTGCGAAAGGCAGTACCACCTCATTTTGAATGGAAGCTCCTTATCTCAGTTGAGGAAACTGAGGCCCAGTGAAAGTACCATCTCCCTGAGGTATAAACTGTAGGAGGAACCCAGTAAGTCCTCTGCAGACAGTTTTTGTTTTATCCACCCAGCGGCTGTAGTAGGAAAGCACACCTGTGGTGTTCACTGGCTTAGCCTTTGTATTGGGCAAATCTTCCCTTCCTCTCCTCCTCTGCTCCCCCTCCCTTTACCCCTCCCTTTCCCCTCCTCTCCTTCCGATCTCCCTGCCCTCCTGTAGTCATTGGTAGTCACGAGCTAGAGGAGATTCAGGTTCTGGGCAGGAGAAAGTCAACTGGTATCCTTCACACAGTTGACTTGTTTTATTCTGTAGCATCAGCTTTGTATGCCAGTATTGAATTCTTGTGTGAATCAACTCTGACTTGTAACAAGGCCATTGGAGGAACTCTTCTGTCCACTGCTCCATTCCCTCACACGTGAAGAACATTGTCTAATGTTCCCTGCTTCAGAGGAGGAAGCTATGAGGCTTTAAACATAATAGATATTTTAATTTTCTTTATATCTGCCCCATGCAGAGCTTTTTTTCTGAGCTGGGATTTAAAATGAGCTGTTGGAAATGAGTAGCATGAGTCTTCTTAGTGAGTCTTCACACAGCCTCCCTCGGGCTGACATGCATGTCCAGTACCTGCCAACAGGTCCTCAAGAGTGCAGCTGCACTCAGCCTGCCAGTCATTCCCAGAGCCAACAGCATGCTACGTGGGGTTCCAGCTATTTCCTTCAGCATTGCTGGGTGATGTGTGTGTGACAGAAGTCATCTCTGCTGTTGTACAGGTTCCTGAAAAGCCTCTCATTTCTCCCTCTTTACCCTGACAGTTGTGTAGAAGCTGGACTCTGGGAGGCCTGCTCCAGTTCTAGGATGTGAACAAATTCAGGATTTATAACTAAGCATGTCCTGCCTGTGGGGCCAGGGGCAGAGGGGTGGGAAGCTGTGTTCTATCTCCAGAGCCCCTGTGTGATTGACACAGTGGTCTAGATAAGTGCCAGGATCTAGAACTGATCAGTGCTTCAGAATCACACAGACCTGACCTTACCAGTTGTCGATCTTGCCATTGCCACTTGACTTGCCTGTCCAGCCACAAATCTGTTTGTGTCAAGACAGCCTCTGCACTGAGGGCAAACAGTGCACTGCTGTTCAGACTGCTTCTTGCAGCTTTCAGGTACAAATGGCTGAGATGATGCCTGCGTGGGTCTAAGTCTACACACCTTCTGATGACCGGAATACATATTATGACAGGACTCCCCATAATTATAGGTGCAAAGACAGCTGCCAGTGGGAACCACTAGTCCATAGGTATCACAGGGAAAAGGCTAGAAGCAGCAGGGTACTACAGCACCATCAAGGGGAATCTTGGTCCCAGGGAACAGACAGACTAATCTTAAGATCCACTGCTGAGTTGACAAGCATGCCACGTGTCTCGGCTTGAGTTTTATATGTTCCTTGGCCCATTCATCTTGAATAAAATGTATCCTTATTTTTTTTAATGGATAGTCTAAGGCTTGTTTATAGTTCAGACAAAACAATTTTAGAAATTGTTTAAAAATACTTTTGTTTCTTCTTCCTTTGAAAATGTGCTAATAATCAGAAGAGTGAGTTTATGTGATTTTTTTTTTTTTGATTGGCAGACTTTTGGCTGCTCCTAGGTGACAGTCTAGTACTTGATGCCTTTAGGGTAGTTTTCAAATAGCTGCCTACATCCCAGTGATGACTTTAGCTTGATCTATGTTGAATACCTCAGTCAATTTGAATGATTACTGTACAGCATTAAGTAACTTTAGTTTGTTGAAATGAATAATTCTAGGGTTGAGATTATTTTCTTTTCTTACAAATTTTTGTGGAAAGGGAAAGAGCATTTAGTATGTAATTTTTGCCAGAAAAATAAGTAGTGAGGCATAGATTGCTGCTGTGAATGGTGTCTTAGTGAGGAGTGGGTCATTTAAATACAGGAAGTTGATCTTGCTCACAACAGGCAGAAGTTGCTGTGCCTAGAGGCAGTGGGTCATAAATAGAAGGAAACTTGTGTAGTGAGAACGGTTTCCTTTTCTAGTCTTGGAGGAAGTTAACCAAGTTTTGTGTTCTGTGGAAGCGCTGTGGTAGGCCTTTCTGCTAGAGTATGTGCACTGTTCTTCCCCGGCCTGGTTTTCTGTGTATGATCCTCCCTGGTTTTGTAGCAGGTCTCTAGAGCTCTTCTTCAGGGCTGACAGGTGACAGTTCCCGGGCCAGAGACTGAGGCCTAAGGGAGGAGAGAGCTGTCCACCTGGCACCACCCTGAGTTTTTCTCCTGGAGACTGAACAGCATCTTTTAGAAACTGGCCTGGTTCAGTTAGAAGTAGCATTTGAAGCACAGGCCTTATAAGAAGATGGCCTGTGATATTTGTAGACCCGTTCACTTGTCACAAATATCTGTTGTCATTAAGAATTATGTTACTGGGGCCAGGGATTTAGCTCAGTGATTCCACTGCCTGCCTGGAAAGCACAAGGACCCGAGTTCGATCCCCGGTACCAAAAAAAAAAAAATCTTAGCCGGAGATTTAGCTCAGTGGTTCCAGTGCCTGTCTCGAAAGTGCAAGGTCCCGAGTTCAATCTCTGGTACCAAAAAAAAAAAAAAAAATTATGTTACCTTTGAGAAAGTCTAGGCGCCACCAGACGTGTGATATGGGTTGATTTTTTTTTTTTTGGTACCAGGGATTGAACTTGGGACCTTGTGCTTGCGAGGCAGGTGGCGGAACCACTGAGCTAAATCCCTGGCCCTGGGTTGATTTTTTTAAAGACAGAATTTCACTATGTAATTCAGGCTGGCCTTGAACTCAGGACAATCCTCCTACCTCAACCTCCTGAGTTCTAAGATTACAGGCATGCACCACCATACCTCACCAAAATTTCTTGAAGAGGCAGGATTTTAGTACTGTTTGGGTGAAGTTTTCCAACATTTTCCTTCTGTTCTATTTTACTTACAATATGACACATACAGAAAAATGTACGTCACAGGAGGAGTATAGATCGGTGAATTTTCATAAGTGGAACAAAGCAATAGCTATCTGTTTTTGAGCTTGTTAAGGAAATCTGGCTCCATGCTGACCCTGGCCTCATTTGGACAACATTTTTTCTGATTATCTCTGAGCCAAGGTCCAGCACAGGGCAGTGGGCTCCCACTACACACATGCCACCATTCCTTCCTGGATATTCAAGAGGCCTCCATCCAGGGATCTGTCCTCTGTCTTCCCAGTGCCTCCTTCACAAACAAAGGCCAGGTGACTTCCCTTGCCCCTTTTCCCTGTCTATCTGAGATGATCTAAGAGACTCTGTTGTCACTAATCATCCCTGTCACTGCCTGGAAGTGCCACAGCATTCCCAGTTGAGTTCCCATCTGACACCCTGAGTGGGTTTATGGGAAAGTTTGTAGCTCTTAAGAGTAAGTACTTTTTTGAGTATGTGCTGCATCTTCCATCTTCTTTATGTGCCTGGCTCACCTTTGTCCCCCTGCCCCTGGATTGGCACCATGTCATTTGCCTATATGCCTCTCTTAACTCTGACTCCTTTCCATCAGATTTATATTCCTCACATATATTTGTACTTGTGTATAGGTTAATATAGCTTTTGATTAAATTACATTAAAGCTTTGTTAAAATTCTGTTACTTCAGGATGGCTTTGTGGATCCTTCTAATGTATTATAT